CTTTCATGCCTGCTTCGGTACTAGCTATATCCGGCGTCAGTCCTACACAGTGATTATGATACCAGAGTGAGTATTTATGATGTCATAGACGTTATGCTAACTATGACATTATGTTATATCAAGGTCTAATGTGATAGTACATGTATGATGCACGATGCACTTAGTTACATGCACAGGGACGCAAAGTACCATATTCAACACAAAATGCAACTTTATTGAAGAAAACGTGGAATTATGGGACTTTTCATTTTCAAAATTACTTCCCTTTGTTACTTGTTTGAGAGGAAAATTGATCAAAATATACCTTTCAGAGTTTCAGGGAATGTTCATCGTATCATCTTTTAGATATTCATGGTTTTTTTATTGAACTGAAAAATGAAAAACCTTTCCATATAATGTAGCAGACCACAGTATTCAGGCCTGGCCATGAACTTTTATACAATGTATAAATTTGTAAAAAAAACAAAAAAAACAAAAAAAAAAAATCACTAAAATTGGTATTTGTCATTTTGAAGTGAACAGTGCAAGGCTGCATATTTTTCATAATATAAAATTTGTATTTGGTTCGAGATTTCAATTTGGTCAGTCTGTAAACTGCTCCAACAAAACCTCCAACACATGCGAAGCTTGCAAAAAATAATAACACCCTTTTACACAATTTTCACTTCTGTATTACAATTGCAATTGTGATGTTCTAGTTTATAAATTATTTTTATACATGTACATGCATGCAAGTATCTTCAGGCTCGGCAAAAGCACTCGTCCGCTCGTCCCGAGGAGCAGATTTTGCTGACAGACGAGTGATTTTTATTGTCAACGAGTCTGTCGGACGAGTAGATTTTATGTAGTGTTGGGAATCGGACAGAAAATTATATTCGATTAATCGGAAGCCCAAACCGATTGATTATCGATAGTTCAATCGGGTTGGAAGACACGTACAGAAAAAGTCTGAAAATGATTGAATACATTATAATATATATATATGCAATATATATTTGTTGTATTGTGTAGTTTCCTAATGTATACTTATTTTGCTTCAGACTGCACTAGCTAGTAATCCTTTATCATTATGTAGTATGCTTTACTGCTTGTATGCACCTTTTGGCCTTAAGGCACCCTCTGTAGTTTGCTAACCTGCATGAAACATAACTGCACGGTGAGTGGATGGCTTTGTAATAGTAAGTACTTACTTAAACATGTTCAGTACTCACTAATACTTGTCTTCCAAAATTTATTTTCATGTGTGTATCATGACCATAAACGCAAGATTTTATGTTGAGAGTCAATACATCACAGAAAATACAAACTGGACTGGAATGATCGTCGGCGACCATATAAAATGGAAATATCATTACAATTGTACACCCTGATATTATTTACGAATTTATCTGTGGCTGAGAATATTTGCTCGTTGGTTGGAGGCAGTATATTTAATAACCTTTATTCTGAGACAGAGGATTGGATGTTTTTTCGTAGTAGCCTCTGTCTTTATCGTACCTCTTGGACTTTTAATGTAAGTGTTTTATCATAGCTATCGAAAGTGGATTTGCATTTCTTGCCATATTGTAAAACAACAACAAAAGAGGTAAATTGATAATTATGTTTTCGTATATGGCACCTTCTAATGAAACCAGGGGTAGCGACAATGAAACGATTGTCAAAAACAACAACATTGAGATTCATCTTGAAGCCAGAAAATATCCTTGTGTGATGTATTTATGAATTACAACTTATTAAGCTGGCATCAGTTACAACTATGCAATCCGTTATGTTAAAAATCACAAATATATTGTTCATTTAAGATTAAAGCAAATGTCCTTTTATTCATTATTTAAGATTTCTAAGCATGCTTGTGAAGATGTATCCTCCGCAAAGCTAATTTGCATACACGTTTAACCATTATTGACTTTTTTTGGAAAATAACTACAAGATTATTTTGGGGTTACACGATAAAACACAAATGACTACATGTATTATTAGGGTGAATTGCTAACATGAAATCGTATATGAATAAGTACAAAGCGAAAACAACATCTCTCAATGAAGCGTAGCTACCTAATTAAAGCAAAAACACCCAGGTGTGAACGATTGTGATTTAAATTCAAAATTTATAAAAAAAAAAGTAAGCACATTATTTAAAAAGAAAGATTTACACGAAAACCTTTGAAAGAGCAAAAGGGATATAAGACTAGGTGATCCAGAACAATAGGAATTTTCTGCTTACCTTATAGTAATAACAATACAACATGACGCTCTAATGATCATAATACAAAAACGTGGATATTTATATCGCACAGGGAAGTTTAATATTCCCAAACGAGCACAAAACACATTTTTCAATAATTCTGAACGTTTTCTCTCAATTTCAATTTCAGCTCCTTGTTTGTGTCCACACGATAGTTGAATACTTACCGATGACAAGACTACAGAATTTCTTCATCATTTTAAAATTGACATTCTAAGTGTTATTTATCAAAACAGACTGACTGATGTGTTGAAAAATGAGTATGTCTTTTAGAGAATTTGAAACCATAACAAATATATAAAAATATGTGTTATGAATAATGATATTGAGTTTGTTTATTAATGGACATTATTTATTCTGAACGAAAATAGATATTAGCTAAAGAAAGATAGTTTTTATCAAAATTGTAATGTGTTAGGCACAAATGTAGCATATATAAACATATATCAACAACTATATTTACCTAAAAGTCTTAGGCTTCAGTGAAGCATCTATTGAGGCTTGTCATTAAAATGTAACTGAATAACAAGCGACGGAGATGAATTGTGATTAATAGTGGAGCTACGTTAACAAATAATCACATCTAGACAAATCAACATATTTATAAGTCTGGAACTTAAGTGGTTGCAAATAATTGAGGTTTACAGAGGCATGGAATTAGAGATGAAATTCTTATTTGAAATGTCAGTATGTAAAGGTAGGTTTTGTTAGAACATCACGTGTGCAACGCCTGTATTCTTGAATCAATTACGTAAATGTGAAACGGGGTAAAATGGAAATTATTTTAATTTCGCCTCTATTTTCTGTGGTTCTTCACTACGTGTGTGTATAACGTCATTCTGTTTTGTATGATTTATTCCTGTTATTTATTAAGATTTCAGGATCAAATGAACATTTGTCATTCTCTCAGCTTGTTTTTCTCTCAGCTTGTTTGCGTAATTAAAACAGTTTTTTGCACTTACACAATTACAATAAGTAAGCATTCAGAAACTGCATCTCTGCAATATGTTAACACATTGAAATTAAAATTTTAAATAGTAACAAACACTCTGTTTACACGTGCCACAGTAAATATATCGACTGTCAATTCTCTGCTTAGATCATTGCTAGAAATGACATTGTACCTTTACCACATGTACCTATATTACAGTCAACATCTGGTGTGTATCTAACATAAACATATAAGTGTATATGTGCTGTGGTAATACTGTTGATAAAACTGAATGATAATAGAATATTTATAGTCTTTGTTACTTAAAATGATAGAGTTATATCTGCGTAAACCTATTTACTAACCCTGTACACTAGCAGTTCATGCTATCATTACCAAATATATAGAACAAAGGGTACAATGGTAAGTAAATTTTGTCCGAAATATTATATGAAATGTATCAAATGAATAACCTAATTTTATGAATAATGCGAATTATGACTCACAATTCAATTCCATATTAAGGTTTATTTTAAACCAATAACAACACTTCCAGTCACATTTGGTAGAGAAACATAATTTACTCTCACTGACTGTTCATACCATACACATATACACTAGCCAAGTTGTGGCTACCGAAGCTACGAGTTTAAAGGAGACCTACATCACAAGCGATGAGAATAAAACAAAAATTGGGTTGGTTTGTTGGTGCTTATTATACCATTAACACCTACGGTCATTTAAGAACGAGCCAGGTATAGGTGGTAGAGGGCAAAGCCTCGGGTCTCCTGCTCAGTATTCCGTCCCTTGAGTTTGAATGACCTTATCCATACCTTACATCAGGGATGAATTCTTTTAGTCTCACCATAGGGTTGAGACGGGGGATTCCCCTATTCATAATGGTATGACGTCACTTCAACAATACAATGACGTCACGTCAACATTGAATTTAGCATGAAACGTTATCATTACATTGTGAATTCCGTCTTTGCGTATTGCAGAGTTATCTTCTCTTCAGAGCAGGGATTGATTGTTACGTCATTGGTTTGTGAGAGTAACGTCATCAATTTTTGAGAAAACGACGTAATTTTCTCACACAACCAATGACGTAACAATCAATACCTGCTCTCAAGAGAAGATAACTCTGCAATACGCAAAGACGGAATATGATACACAATGGGAGACTAGGGTAAGAGAAAAAGAATAATTCACTCCCTTGTGGATGAGATAGGGGAATCTCAACCCTCGAGGAAAGATTCTTAAGTTGCCAAACACTCTGCAGAACCTCGTGTTTGGCAACTTAAGATTCTTCCCCTTCGGGTTGAGATACCCCTATCTCACCCTCAAGAGGGTGAGATATTATATTAATCTCTAACCCTCGGGATGATATTCTCGAACGTATTGCCCTCGGCAAAGCCTCGGGTAAAACAATCAAGAATATCAACCCTCGGGTTGGAGATTTCTCTGTCACACTCTGAAGGTAAGGGACGATTCTATTAAAAAATCAGCTGAGTCTACCGCTTGGTATCTTAAAAGAATAGCGTGAGATATACAGGTGTTATTGCACCTATACAATTTGGTTATAGATACGGTACACAAACATAAATTACACTGCAATATATGGCTGTATCTTCCTCATGTGATCTATCTATGATGCTGGGGAACAAAAACGGTAATTTCTGTGATAATCATTACTAGTATCATCAATTGTTATGTATCTGAAGAAAAGTATTTCTCGTTTCGAAGTGAAAGTTTATTTCACGCTGCATGCATCCTTAACTCTGCTTGAAACTCAATCAATAAAAACAATTCAAATAAATCTGCGTATGTTTTATTAAGTCTATGAGAATTGGAAGGGAAAAACATCAGAGATAAATACGTTCATAATTTAAATAATGGATACAATCTCCCTATGTCAAAGTTAAACACAACTATTGCATTATGACATCGTTCATAAGTGACATCACAAATCGTAATATTCGGGGGGGGGGGGGGGGGGGGATTAATATTAAGTATATATAACATTATGAATACCAGTTTACAGTTAAACAAAAGCTCATAAATTCTTTCATTAAAGAATTGTCCATGGGTCAATCAGGTGTCAGGGATTTTCTTTCGTGTAATTCTATTGAATTGACTTTAACAGGTTTTGCAGAAGTCGCTGCAACTTCAATTCCCTTTTGCTGGGTGGTGTTGGTGGAGGAGGTGTTGGTCCAGGTGGAGGGCTTTGTCCTCCTGGCCGTTTTGCAGGTGGTGGAGGTGGTGTTGATGGAGGTGGTGATCCAGGTGGGGGTCCTAAAGTAGCAGAAATGAATATATTAGTCTATTTGTTTAAACTTACTCTTAATTTGCCTGGTAGTTTTACTTCGTTTGTTCGATTATGTGTCAATCGCATATGCATGCAAGATTGAACATCTTATACATATAACCAAATGCTATTACGAATTTCTACAGAACATTATGCGTTATGTATTCATAAATGTCATACATCCTTTAGCTGTTGTAATTACAATAAGATGGACAAATTATTACTACAAAGCAAAAGTATATGACTTTCCATTCTTCTCTGTAAACAAATCAAAATGCTAAAATGCATATGGACTTCTTAGTGGTTGCACTGTCATTTTCCATGATTAGTGGTTGTTCATGTATAATAAAACTTATTTGACAAACGCGGTTATTGGAAGACGAAAATGTTCGTNCAATTTCTACAGAACATTATGCGTTATGTATTCAAAAAATGTCATACATCCTTTAGCTGTTGTAATTACAATAAGATGGACAAATTATTACTACAAAGCAAAAGTATATGACTTTCCATTCTTCTCTGTAAACAAATCAAAAAGCTAAAATGCATATGGACTTCTTAGTGGTTGCACTGTCATTTTCCATGATTAGTGGTTGTTCATGTATAATAAAACTTATTTGACAAACGCGGTTATTGGAAGACGAAAATGTTCGTGTTATTAACACAGTGCCGGTACAGTACGGTTAGAGATTGAAACACTGTTACCTACCATCACAATTCTCCTCATACCAGTTAGCGATCTCTCCGATGAACACATCCAGTTTTCCATTCAAAACAGGATCATTCGTGCCTACAAATTCAAATACAATGCATCAAATCAACAATTATTTCCCAAATGTATGTTTTTTAAAAGAATTATTTATTCATTTTATTTATTGATTTAATTAGCTTGATTTTATTTCCAATAATTCAATAATGCGTCCTGAACTACCCTACTATATAATATAAATAAGTTGGGAGTACGAGACGTTGATACCACAGAGCTGATAAGTGGTCTCATTCATCGTCAATAGTAAATGTATTATGTGTAAATACATATGTTGTTATCGTGGAAAATACAAAACCGTGGTAAATATAAAAATACGGTATGTGGAATATTCTTTGTATTATTTTGAATAAAATTTATTTAAGAAATTTGTTTTCACCAGGGTAAGACATTTTCCGTTATTTTCCTTATGTAACAATGAGGGAGGTTAGTGTGTGAAAGAAAAAACACAGTCATTTAAAACAATTAGCAAAATTATCAAATTAAATTGACATGGTGAAATTGAGAGATGTTATGTGTCAATTGGAAAAAAAGTTAACTGGTAAATGTGTCTCTTCAATAAGATTCATTCAGTTTGGAAATATGTGATATAAAGTTTTACTTTTTACACAAACAATGTACGTATTAAACGTGTCGCAACGTTTCAAGACCGACCGGTACATTTGTCAATCTATGACTGAGTGAGCGATGTGTACAACGATGTGACGAAATTGTACATCTCACTCGACCCGAGGCGTTTCTGGGTCGATTGGTTACAATCTGTCACGATCCCTAGCAGATATACTGTCGCCATTTGTAGGTACAACACAACACCATGTCAAGAATTCCAAACAATTAGCATCTGACTTTGAAAATGTAATTATTGAAAAACAGGACATTTTCAACTCCAACAATGTGGTTTCACTGTTTACCAACACTCCATATACTCCAGAAAAGAACAAACCTATCAGTAGACAACATCATCGAACTACTAACATTTGTCATGGACACGACATACTTCGTGTTCAGAGGTCAGGTGTACCAACAGAAATACGGTACTTTTATGGGAGGTCCTGTGTCACACATAGTCGCGAATCTGGAACACCTAGATCAGACAGCCATTAAATCGGCACCCTTGGAATGCGGCCCAAAACTTTGGAAACGATATGTGGATGACATCCTAGAAATAGTTAAAAAGGGAGCAGTGCAGTGCAGGTATATCAGATCAGTGCAGTACCGATCACCTGAACCAAGTAGACAAAACATATTGCATTAAATTTACCCATTAGGAGGAAAGTGACGGAACCATACCATTCTTGGACACGTTCATCGTCCACAAAGAAAATGGCACCACCAAACTATTAGTGTACCGAAAACCGACACCGACCAATATTTGGCTTTCAATTCCCACCATCCACTACACCAAAAGCTGTGAGTCGTACGTACACTTTTCGACAGATATAATAGCATCATCACAGAGCAGGACGATAGACACTGGGAAGAACAGCACATAAAAGACGCACTCAACCGTTGTGGCTACTCCGACTGGTCAATAAATAAGGTAAAAAGACCGGTAAAAGAAAAGACAGAAAATAGAAAACCGAGACAGAAGAAAAGTAATGAGAGCCAAACCAAGAGCAAAAGCTGGGTCACCTCTCCCCAACGCGAAGGGAACATCTGAGGCGTTTGCACGGGTGATGAGGAAACACCATTTCAGTACCCCAAGGAGACCACTGACAATCTCAGACAGTTACTGGTGCACCCCAAAGACAAGATTGACATTTTAGACAAAACAGGAGTTGTATATCAAATTCCATGCAAAAATTGTCAGCAGTCATATATAGGTGAAACTAGGAGGAAATTTGGTACACGTCTGAAGGAACATCAAAAAGACGTAGAGCAAATGAGCAACATCACATTCACCAGATACAAAAGCAAAACATCCGCCACGTTGATTTGACGGAGGTTTCCTAAAGCATCGATTATTTCATGTGTCAATTGGTTTTCTGTATGTTTGTTCGTGTGTTAATGGGTAATTTGTTAACCTGTTCGTGTGTTATTTGGTTATATATTTATCTATTTGCGTTTCCATTAGTTATTTTTCGTTAACTAATTGGTTATTTGTTAATTAATTAATGTGGTTACTAGTTATTTTTTATGTTTGTTTGTTTATCATTTGGTGACTAGTTTGTATGTCAATTGGTGACTTGTTTGTGTGTCAATAAGTAATATTTACAATTGCCACTGTTTCGCAATCGATATTTCTCAATAACTAGAGTGTAGAACGTGACACAGTTCACCGCGTATGAATATATTTAAATCATGGCGGACTTCTTTCTGCAAACCTCATGACAATGTTTACAAACAAACGCTAGCATTTAGACTACCATGTGTTCGAGATACCAAATGATGTCGGGTTCGAGACAAGACAGATCATCTTCTTGGCCGGTCATAAAAATGAAGCTAGTGTCAAAAGTTACAGCTGCGATTGTTCGTCGATACAAAAACGTTACACCAGCTCCACTCTCTCATCTATGAGTGTCGGCCGCCATGACACAGAAACGATGGCTATCGTTCCTAGAAATGTAGGTCAAATTTCTCGTCTCCCAAATGTTACATCAACAGTCACTCGGCCGACAAATGATTAATCCACATTATACAGTGTACAAACAGCAATTTCAATAACTGCGCATTCAAATCCACCAGGCATAGGCTAGTCACTATCGCTCGACGTCATGGTAGCACTCTCTATTTCCCGCTAAGTATTTTGCCCCAGTACCTCAATTTCATACAAATGTATAATTATTTATTACATTACCTACTAATACAATTATGAAGATATTGTATGAAGTAAAATACGGATATTTTATGTGAATAGAAATATTGAAATGGAGGAACTTTTTTCATTTGTTGTCACGGATAAAGTGGGCGGGGTTTAGCTGCCTGTCAACGGCTTTTGCGAATGGCTGTTTCGCATGGATAAAATCATTTTGAACGCAGATTACAAAAGGTAAATGCTTGTATTCGACTCTTTTAATGGTGTTATTGGAATTATTGTCATGTTAATGAGTTAATTTGTTAAGAGATTAATTTATTTAATGAATAATTTTCCAATTATCATATTTAATATGTCAACCCCTGGATGTGTAGATTTCATTTACAAATTTATGAAAAAGAAGTTCATTGTATTTAATGTTCAAGTGTTGACTATTCCTGGTATGCTTCTTGTTTGACAATATACTCACAACTGGCTGTTTCGATGCAGGATGGAATAAAACCTGTAAAGTAGGATAAAATATTTTATTTAAGCAATAGAGCTATATAATTATGAGTTTACTTAAAATAAAACTTATAAAAGTGTTAGTTCTTTTCATCACTTTCATCCTTGCAACATAATGATGATAATTATATAGAGGATCTTACATGAGTGTCTATGTCATATTGAAACTATTACACGATTTCAATAATTTGATATGACACGAGCCTTTAGGCGAGTGTCATATTAAAATATTGAACGAGTTTAATACATTCAATATGACAAGGACACGAATGTAAGATTTTATTTATCGCATAACATTCATAATTAAATTTGTTGACTCTATTTGGATAAAAAACAAAACACTGATCATAGTTTTGTCGTTATGTGCAGTGCAAAATAGTTCCAGAATTTGATTTTATTTCCGTAATGAACAGTTTTAATTGTAATGAAAGTGATTGTAGTTACAAAATAAATATTTCAAATTTAACATGTGGTATATTAGATAAAAGAAGTACCTGTAGTAGCGTAAGATTATGTTCCCACAGTTTTGACCAATCGCATAACCTTTAGGTTTTTTTAAAGTATGTAATACCATTTTTATAACATGGCCGTATGACATACTAGTATAATGGGTCAGTTATGTGATAAATAAAGATTCGAGATTTACCGAGTGTCTTTTACAATTCGAAAATAAACTAATGAGAGTTAGGAAAAAATGACAACCAGCCATTTCGAGTTTGAGGTCCTTTATCTGCCGTGGCATTCATATCATATCTAGAAAACCAGGTTTCCCCACCACGTCCTTTAATGACCGTAGCTGTTGATAGAACGTTAAACCCTGTACGTCAAAACCCAACAAACAAACAAACCAACCCTATGTTTTTATTGAAAACTAACCATTTTTTGCTATTTCTGATAAGGGAAACTATTGTCATGTAGCCTATTATGATGCCATAATCGCAGATGACGTCGCAAAACATTGTTACTTGGCGTCATAATTAAAATTACACATGAAATGACGTTTAGAGTGGAACCTTCTAGTGGTTAACAACAACTGATTACCAACTCTTAGCAGGTTTATCCGACGAGTCAAGAAATAGGAAAAATATAGCGATTGCTGGAAAAAGATTTTACATTGAAATTAAGTTAATATTTTACAATGACAAGTGACACGTATCGTTATTTTTACACTTAACCGATCGATTAGAAAACAAACTTTGATGTGAAAAATACCAAAGAATGGACACTGTCAACTGAGAGGTTCGAATAGCCCAGGTATTTTGTTTAATCCAGGTCCCATAATATAGTTTTCCCGATCTCCGTATGTTTACCTCTGTATGGACTATTCGTTTACGGAATTTATTATTATATGAAGAAAAAATGTAATAAACAGAATAGTCTTGATGTTGAGAATGACTGATAAATTCTTTTCGTGGGTTGGATGCTTTTTTTTCATTTTATCACTTGTGCTTTGTACTCGTGGAAAATATCAAAATATTCCCTCCACTCGTGAAATAATACTGTAAATTCAACAATTTTTTTATTTGTTAGTTACAGATCTAGAATTTGGCGTTTAACAGTAGTTAGAATAGTCTCCCCTACCCCGTTTTTTAAAAGACATCGATTTTATTCCAGGCTATAGTTAAGCATTACAGCGGCAATAATTTCCAACAAATATGAAGCGATATGGGGGACACAGCAGCGAAGTTGGATACAAAAAGGTAAAATAGGCATACAACGCAGACTTAAAAGGCAATTAAGCTACCGAAAAGTGATTTAAGGGATTGCTTAATTGAAAAACAAGATTTTCCTCGTTGGGATGACTTCATTATATTAATTAATATTGACTTTCTATAGAAATAAGACGATAAATATTTCATATGTCATATCGTAGCAGTGCCTTGTTTATCCATACGATTCTCAATATCGTTGGAGGAGAACTAGGGACAATGACGTTGCTGATCGTATGATATTTTGTATTAAATGTTAACAGAGGCACATCCATACGTCAAGACAGGCTGGCGCAAATATCTAAATTGCTTAAAGGTAGATGAAAGGAAAATTAGTTATATCTCAAACATCTTTATGTAAAAAACATTGTACAAATGTATATACCTTTAAGGAGTCTTATCTTTTCACAGAGGTTTTCTAATACTTTCTCTGCTTCAATGGATTCCATAGAACTTTCGCCAGACTAAAAACGAAAAAACATTATTTACAACAATAATGAAACAAATTATTTTAACTTATGTTAATCACCCTTGTTAGCCCGGAAATTAGCGAGCATGGAGTCTTAAATATGGGAGGAAACTAGAACGAATGAAAATTAAGTATCATGTGTTAGTAAATTTAAACACATCACTTTTATGTTTATCATGTATAATGTAAATGTGTCAAAATGCAGACTATGACACATTTCTATAAAGTAAAAATGTTATTTTTCAAACTGTTACATATTTCTATTACGCAGATATATGGTAATGGAACCTGTAGACTATTGGCATTGCGTGAATATGTCTTTAGTCAAACTGTATCCTTATATACACTGTAATACATTTATTACCTCAAATATTGCATTACGCAAACAGATGCAAAGACCTACATTATGTATTAGTGTTTCACTAAGTGTGTATCCTTTTGCGAATACCTTCATATCACTAGATTGTAATTACAAGTTTTAAACGTGAATATTTTATTGTAATTGTTGTATATGCAAAATAATATATATAATGTAAAAAGGTGTTTTTTTAAGTTATCCAAATGTGACCCAATAGTATATTTGTATCTTTTCTTGAGAAAGGCGAACAAAATCTTGACAATTCTTCGTAAAAATAGTATTACATGTATAATGTGCAAAGGCATCTTAACGTGTTTTTTTATTGATAAACAGAAACAGTAAAATTCGCTAGATAACGTTAGTTGAATAAAAACAATTCTTGTAGATTATATTTTTGTTATAGCATTCCTGGTTATCAGTGAACGCAATTTTTTTTTCCAAATATATATATAAAAACAAAAACGCTTGCGTGTTTATTGCGAACTGTCCTTCAATAACATCGTAAATTTTAAAATAACAGTATTGACAATAAGAGAGAAACGCCTAACGCTTTATCCTGCGTATAAACTATACTCATATATGCAATCAAAACATATGTCTGATGTGTCCTACTCATAACTTTACCAGTACTACAGTCGTTGAAATAAATTGAATAAAGGCGAAATGCCGAGGCGTGGTAATCAGGCCAGATCAATTTGGGATTAAATACCTTGAAATCCTATCATTTGAAGTTCGTTTTGTTATAAGCCACGTATCTCGCTAAAATACATATTAAATAAAACTTCAGCGTTTTCAAATATGAGTGAAAAACGCTAAAATATGATTACCGCCGAAATCACCAAATTTTACATTACAGCGTGCTACAGTAGGTACGTTCAGTAGTACGCGTACGCATATATAATTATATAAGATAGTAAAACCAATGTAAGCTGTACCTGTTTTAATTAAACAATGCTATATAATGTTATGTTATTCCGAATCGTTGTTGATTATATATTGAAAATATAATGTTTTGTATACTACCAGAAAAAAACCCACACATATATATATATATATATCGATACAATATAGGTAAAAAAAGTTTAGCTCTTTGCATGACAAAACTATAATGATACATAATAATGTCAGAATTAAACAAAATGCACTGAAATTAAACATGATCATACACATTTAGAGTAAAGAAAGAATATTATATACAGTATAATTGATAGTTTGTGAATGAATATAATTCAATGTACGAAAAAGTACTTAGGACCAGCTGTATGCTCGTACGTATTGGTATTGAATAAAAAAAAAAAAAAAAAAAAAAAAAAAAACCCTGTAAATTAATGATAATAAAAACAGCTCACGTACCCGTGTAAATACGGAATTGGCCTGCAGCCCTCCGAACAGAGCAGCAATCACGGCTACTGTTAGAAAGGAATTCATGTTGAAGCAGAAACAGCACTTATGAACCGTGCAGGTTTGTTGGTGCGTTTTATACTATTTAATCTGTCAATCTTACCCAAGGTCAGCCTTATCCGTTCACTGGCCACTTGGTATTTTTGTGTTTGAGTACTTAAATACGTCAACGGACTGTCACGTTTATAGCATTTGGAAAGAAATATGGCATTAATCTCAACATAATTAAATATCCTACATTTATCTATAGAAACTATCAAAGATTGTATATGCATGTTAAAATAGTCCTACGTGTATTCCCTCAACTGCAAAAAGAGTTCGTACGCATCATGTAAACTTGTTTAGTGATGACCTTGTTTTCGTTTTCAATACCATTGGCTAAGTTTGTCCTCTCGACATGATTTCTTTTAGATATGCGGTGTCAAAGCGTTCACTTGATGAATATCATTATTAAAATCCATCTTATATTCATAAAGATATATACCCAAATGTCCAAGGTCATATCGTGGCTTTAGGATTAGGCTCTGTAAACTAAACATAAAAGGTCGTAGGGTTGATATTTGTGTATCACACCCTAGGGCAGAGTTAGAAATAGATTCCTGTAAATCAGTACTTATAAATTGACCTGTTGCCAAATTTACCAAAATAATATGTATTGGATCGAAATCATACATTGAATGTACAGCCATGTTATAAAGACACATTTTTTTTGTTTTTGTTTTTGTGTTGACAACATCAATGTTGATGTCAGTACCATCACTTAACATTTTGAATTTTTCATCGATGGCAAAACTACGTAAGGGAAAACAATGCCCCTCCTGAGTGGATACCTAGTAATAGCACGAGATCCTGATACATATGAAAGATTCATTATTAACAAAAGACGAAGGTAGCGGTTCACTGTAATTTATCGATACGGTTATCATTAGCTTAAATTGTTATATAATATTCACAACGATTATTGTCGACAGCAATACTACTTCGAATGAAAGGGAAATGGAGTCGGCGGTATTTTGAAATGGAAGAACATATACAAACGTTGATGTACAGGTAGTTCTAATGAATTAATCAGGTGTTTGTTTTGTCGTAAAATAAGTAAAGCCAGGACTACTTCTAGTATATTGACTGTAACGAAAATCCTCTTTCTATTCAAAAGAATGTATAAATTGGAAAATAATTACGAAGATACAAGTGAGCCATTTTGAAATATCCGGTATAACTGTAATAGAATACGGAAAATACACCATAACATTTTTTTTTTAAATTATTCATAAAATTGTCCCCCGTTTTGCGTATGCAGGATTCTTCTGTCACCCTTGGGTATAATTTCTTTCCTACCTTCTGGAGTATTCCGTCTTTTCGTATTGCAGAGTTATCTTCTCTTGTGAGCAGGTATTGATTGTTGCGTCATTTGTTTATGAGAGTAACGTCATCAATTTTTGTGAAAACGACGTTATTTTTCTCACACAAACCAATGACGTAACAATCAATACCTGCTCACAAGATAATATAACTCTGCAATACGCAAAGACGGAATATCAAGTGGAAAGACTCAATAGCATGACGTCATGGGAACAATAAAATATGACGCAACAATAAAGCTTTTACTTTGACAGCGTTTTACACAATAATCAGACACTGTTATAATATACAAGTAATACAGAGGGATCGGAAAACGAGCTTTAAAGATAATATATTTATACCTCTCCCAATTTCATGCAGAAATCAGCATAAAATTTATTACACAAATGCTGTATTCTCATTTTGGAACGCAGTATCGAAATGGGGGGAGATGAAGCATTATTCCCCGAAGGGAGTGTACACCTAAGAAATTTCAACCCTCAGGGTGATTTTCTTGAATGTCTAACCCTCTACTTGAAGCAGGTCTGGCGTTACACAATCAAGAACCCTCGGGTTGAGATTTCCCTGCCATAATGTTAAGTACTGTTTTCTTGTATATTTTGCGATATTATATTGTTAACACACGAGCCAAACTATACATCATTATACAAAACTATAAATCACAATACATCATTGCACAAGCCAACATCAACCTACACACCATAATTTTATTATATAATATTAATTCTAACACGATTCGTTTGCAACGCGTGTTTTGATTGGATACGGACCATGTTCTAATCTGCGATAGAATCATGATCAGTCGTGTTAAGCTCCTTCCATCGCACTTAAGCCACGCCCCGTTTCTAACCAAAACAATATGGCATCAAGCTCGCCTCTTAGCGAAATCCCGACCGATGAAATGTATTTGTTGAATGAATTAAAAAGTTAAAAAGAAAAATTCATTGTCCTTACCTCGATTTATTATTGAAACGTTCGTTCCATAATATGATCAGTCTCGAGTTCAAACCAAATTTCATGTTCTAATCGCCAGTATAGCTACTCCAAACAACGTACTGTCGCCTTAGTAGAAATCTTACACTTATATTGCATCATCTTATCAATTTACGTACCTTATTACAGTTTTCCATACATATCCTTATATTGGTATATCAATCATTCTCTCTTAAAGTTTTACATGTTTAATATTCTGGGCAACACTTGTTATGATATTTTGTTTGAATTTCGAAGGCCTTAAAATATAAAAATAAATCGTTAAGCTCGCAAAGCTTTTTTCAAGAAAATCAGAAGCATAAGAACACAAACAGTATAGGAAAGACGTCACAAATTAACTCAAAAGGTGTTGATGATGGAGGAAAACTGGAGTTCCTGGAGAAAAACCGCCGACCAGTGGCCAGTACCTAGTGTCTGTCCCACGTAGGCCTCGAACCCACGACCCAGTGTTAGAGGGCTAGTAGTTGTAGACGGTCAGACGCCTCGACCACTAGGCCGTTGCGGCCCCCAATAGCTATTGCCATAATTGACGTGCCGACATGTGTGTAATAATGTGTTTGGCAGGGTATGTTGGAGCATTTTTCTTTGCGATAGCGATAATCTGTTGTTACCTTACTGAAATACCGTGCCGAAGGCACCAAGCATAGCATTCACATGGTCACATAATACTGACATGGGTTTAACCAGTTCTATTTATTATTTTCAACGCTTAAGGTTAAACAGGGAATAACAGCTACCATTTTTAAGGACGTTTGTATGTCCCGGCTTTGAGACAAAACTAATTGCTCACTTTGGCCAATGTTGAACACATAAGTTAAAAGTGAGATATTGCAAACAAGGCGTTAGGAAACAACGATAGTTAGAAGTAGAGAAAAATAAAAATACCAAATATTGCAATGGGTGCCTCAGATTTATCATGGTCGCCATTTGTCCTCGGGTAGAAAGCACAAAAAGCTAACTCCAAGTCTGCAGTGATATCCATATAAGTTGCCTCTTACAACATCCTGTATCAAGTGCCGATCTAAACGTAGAATGTTTGTCATCAAAGGACATTAGTTTAAACCTATTTTATTGTCATATCAAGGGACGTGTTGATCATGTCATTTCATATGATTGACATTGAACTCTTTCTCCCTTTTTGTTCCATTCTCCTAGGGACTGATACTGCGCCTGGAATGGAAAAATGTTAATATAGGGATTGAATCTGGATTTTTCCAGTGTTTATAATAATAACAATAATATACAGCATTTATATAGCGCCCTATATAATTTGTAAAATTACTCTAAGGCGCTTTACAACATATGGATAAAAGTAATGGTTATAATTGTGAAAACAAACAACAAAGGCTTGCAATCACTTTCATACATTTAACAAGCAATGTGCACATAATTTAACAAACAAAAGGGTGGTCACAGTACGAGATTTTGGGACACACAACAAAGATTCTGACTCCGACCGCAGTGATCTTGACGGCTGATACAGGGTAACAAGTTCCTGTAGGTACTGAGGAGCTGTTCCATTCAGTTTATGCAGGTATGAACGGAGGAATAGCTATTTACACACCACATGACGACCGGAGCCGAGCGAAGGGAGACAACTGGGAGACAACTCGAACGACAATCAAATTGCTTACTGAAAAATGGGGATTTGGAATATTTTAAAAGTAGTCACATGAAAAAAACAGCCGTTCTTACTAATATTAACAGCTGTTTTTTCTGGGTCACATGACTACTTTTAACCGATCACAGAACCTGTAATAAAGCACAAAAAAACAAATTTGGAATTATATTGTTATATCGATTGTTTTAGAAGTTTTAAGACTTTTGATCATAAAATTGTTTACAAATTTTGAAAATATACCGAGAATAATATTTTCCGCATAGTTAACAATATATATGATATAACTTGATTGGTATAATGTATATTCATGCACTGTAGACTTTTCGTCTGTATTCTATAAGGGACTGACCGTGTTTCACTTCTGGTGTATTACTGATATATTTGTTTATATATTTTCATTATAATCAATGTTGAAGGAAGTATTAAAACAATCTGTCCAGTCCTTCAAGTACCATTTAAGGATGATGGTTTGCCTAAGCGAATTTATATACACATGCAGTTGTATTTCAGTAAGCAACAAAGTAGGAAAAAAAACAATTTGTTTCTTGAAGCAAATGGAATCGGTTACTAGAGCAGTATCAATAATATTAAAACGTGAACAACCAGTACCATTTTGTGTTAAACCACAATCATTATAACCAGAGTTTGTTTGATTAAACCACAATCCTCTTAACCAGAGTGTGTTTGATTGTACTATAATCCTTATAACCAGAGTTTGTTTGATTAAACCACAATCCTTATAACCAGAGTTTGTTTGATTAAACCACAATCCTTATAACCAGAGTTTGTCTGATTAAACAACAATCCGTATAACCAGAGTTTGTCTGATGAAACCACAATCCTTATAACCAGAGTTTGTCTGATGAAACCACAATCCTTATAACCAGAGTTTGTCTGATGAAACCACAATCCTTATAACCAGAGTTTGTTTGATCAAACCCCAATCCTTATAACCAGAGTTTGTCTGATTAAACAACAATCCGTATAACCAGAGTTTGACTGATGAAACCACAATCCTTATAACCAGAGTTTGTCTGATTAAACAACAATCCTTATAACCAGAGTTTGTCTGATGAAACCACAATCC